CAAAAGGACTCCAATCTCCCGGCCTAGTCGCCTCCTAATCTTTAGGTTAGATCATCTGTCACAGGGCCTAGCTACACCGACTCTCCAATAGGAGCTCATGTTAGATTCGGTCTCTAGCGCTTGGTATTTCCGTTTAGCTCTCCCCAGTGCTAGCACTACGCCACTCTTCCATCGTGCATCCACCGCTCGAGGAGCCTGAAGGGGAAGATGGAGAAAGCGACGACCCGATTGTTCGACACAGAACCAGCAAGCTAGCGCCACCCCCTCACTAACGCACGAAGCAGAAAGCAAGTTTGCCCTTTTCCCGGATGCGAAATAACCCACACTCTCGGGAGTTCCTATTCAGTGTGCAAGGCGTCGAAGCACGACCAAACATGCACACCCCAAGATGCTCCCTTTGGTTGTGTGGCCGGTCACCCTATTGGGCCTAGGCCCATTCGGGGAAGCGAAAGAAAAAAGAGCAAGGAAAACAAAAAAAGTATAAAGAATATTTAAAATGTTCTGAAAAATAAAAAATATATTCACAAATTTTGAAAAACATCGTTAAGAATGAATGTGTTGCAAGAAATCCACCAAAGTATGATGAACTGTATTATCACAACATGTTTGGTTCACGGGAATTAGTTTCACTAGTAGAAAAAAGGCCATTTGTCCCGGTTCGTAGGGCCCATTTGTCCCGGTTGGGGAACTGGGACTAAAGGGTCGGTACTAAAGCCCTACACGTTTAGTCCCGGTTCTTAAACCAACCGGGACAGATGGGCCTCCACGTGGCCGCTGCGGCGAGCCCAGACAGGAGGGTCTTTGGTCTCGGTTGGTAGCACCAACCGGGACCAAAATGCATCCACGCGTCAGCAGCTTGCAGGAGCTGAGTTTTTTAAAGAGGGTGGTTTAGGGGGTTTTGGGGGGTTAATTTAGGGTGTTAGCTAGCTAATAGAGAGAAGTGTTCTCTCTTATCTCCGTGCTTGGTTTACCAACGCTACTGCTATGCCTAAACATGGCTTAGATTGAAGTGAATGCAACATGTGTGGTGCATGTCGAAAGTAATACTAATATCCTAACTTGATCAAGTTTGGATTAGTACTACTTTTGACATGCACCACATGTTGCCTTCACTTTAATCCGATCCATGTTCACTTCACCCACTGATATATAAAAAAACTCTCCATGCTCGCATCATGCATCATCATAATAACAAGTCCTACTAATCATCATCATACAATTTCTACTCGTTATTAATAACAAGTGATACGATCATCATCCTCATAGTCATCGAACCAACCCAAAGATTGTTCTTAGCACATGATCATCAGTATTAGGTAGGACCTAAATACCCTCTTTAAGGTAAAATAACATAAAATAATATAGGCCCTGACTCTCCATTATGGAGAATGGAGATCATCTTGTCTTCAATTCTTGCGCTTCGCACAATGTTGCTTCCAAGTACCTCCTTACGACTGACCATACATTTTTTCCATTCTCTGATTTTCATGTCTCCACTTCTTTTAGAAATCCGATATGGACAGGTGAGATTCGTAGGATGACCTGGCCATATGTTCAAAACATCAAGGCGATCATTCTGATACATCAGATGAGGTACACAATCATTCGGGATTTTCGGTTGAAAAACATAGTAATAACTTTGTAGTTAGCAATGTAGTTAAGTTTTAAAAGAATTTATGCAAAAGATGCACGAATGTCATAATAGTAAAAAAATCTTACCATGGCATCTCCATGGATGTTACTGTAGTTCAACACGTGCACTAGTGGCACGTATTGACCATAATGTGGAGGAGTTTTATAATAGATATTGTAATTCTCAAGATCAGTACAAAATGCGGCCAGATGATTTTTCTTTTGATAAGTTAATCAGAGCCATCGGTGTAGTAGGTTCTGTCTACCATGTTCCGCACATTGTTTGAACAATGAAAATAAGTTGTCAACTATTTTGAAATGAACAATATAAATTAGTTAATAACTATGTTTGAGAAACTCACATAGCGGTAGAATTGGAAGCGTATCAACAAGGGCCCAAAGTTCATATTGTCTTGGTCGATGTCAGGATCACCAAGATCCATGGTGACAAGCATACCCTCATAAAAACCATACATCTTGCAAAGTGCTTCCCAATTTTTGCAACCAAAATGGTTTACGCTCTCAGAATTATACAGATTTACTTCAAAATCCACATCATGATGGGTCTTTAGGTGAATTTTCTTTGTTTCAAAATTTCCATGGTCTTCAAAATCCATCCTCTCCAAGACATAGCGTCTTGCATGACATGAGATAAGCTACTCAAATTGTAAAAGATGAAAATTACACGTTGAAATAGTTGAAGTCATGCTTAATTACGAAAAAACACTTTTCGTCGTTGCGTATCATTTCAACATCGAAGGTCTGATATGTCTCCAACGTATCTATAATTTTTGATTGCTCCATGCTATATTATCTACTGTTTTGGACTATATTGGGCTTTATTTTCCACTTTTATATTATTTTTGGGACTAACCTATTAACCGGAGGCCCAGCCTAGAATTGTTGTTTTTTTTGCTTATTTCAGTATTTCGGAGAAACGGAATATCAAACGGAGTCCAAACGGAATAAAATCTTCGGGAACGTGATTTTCTCACCGAACGTGATCCAGGAGACTTGGACCCTGCTCCAAGGCACAAAAGAGGTGGTCACGAGGGTGGGGGGGCGCCCCCCTAGGGCGCGCCCCCTGCCTCATGGGCCCATCATTGCTCCTCCGGCGTACTTCTTCCTCCTATATATACACACGTACCCCCAAACGATCAGAACCAGGAGCCAAAAACCTAATTCCACCGCCGCAACTTTCTGTATCCACGAGATCCCATCTTGGGGCCTGTTCCGGAGCTTCCCCGAAAGAGGGCCATCATCACGGAGGGCTTCTACATCATCCTAGCCCCTCCGATGAAGTGTGAGTAGTTTACCTCAGACCTTCGGGTCCATAGTTAGTAGCTAGATGACTTCTTCTCTCTCTTTGAATCTCAATACAAAGTTCTCTCCCCCTCTCTTGTGGAGATCTATTCGATGTAATCTTCTTTTTGCGGTGTGTTTATTGAGACTGATGAATTGTGGCTTTATGATCAAGTCTATCTATGAATAATATTTGAATCTTCTTCGAATTCTTTTATGTATGATTTGTTATCTTTGCAAGTCTCTTCGAATTATCCATTTGGTTTGGCCAACTAGATTGGTAGTTCTTGCCATGGGAGAAGTGCTTAGCTTTGGGTTCGATCTTACGGTGTCCTTACCCAGTGACAGAAGGGGCAGCAAGGCACGTATTGCATCGTTGCCATCGAGGATAACAAGATGGGGTTTATTTCATATTGCAT